ATAGATTGTCTTGGCCTCCTAGCTGGCACCCACATTCAGAGGGCTTGGTGCGGTCCGATGTTGTTTCCCCAGCTTTATGACAAGGGTCTCCATGCTCTTAGTAGGTCAGGTCAACTGTTTCTGTGGGTTTCTGCAGCACCGTCTTGGCTCCTTTGCTCATCCTTCCTCCCTCTCCACAACTGGATTCTAGGAGTAAGGTTCAGTGCTTAGCTGTGGGTGCCTGTTTTTATCTGGCATAAACATATCAAGCTTTTGAATAATCTTAATCTTTTATTTTGAGCTATTTGTATGCTGCCTGGCAGCATAAACTAAAACAGACTAAATTACATACTTTGACATGCATGTCTTAGCCGCAAACCTTGCATAGAAGGGACAGTGCCACAAGGATGCACATGGTTCACTTTTACTTTCTCCTTGGGAGCCGCTCCCCTTTCTGTTTATTTACACCGTGTCTTTGTAACTGTTTGAAACTTGATGCTTCTCTACAGGAACAGCTGCAGGCCTTAAATTAAACCAGGGCAGTTTCAACTAATCTTATATTTACAGGGCACTCACAACTCCTTCAAGGATCCTCAGCACACAATTCAAACTGCAAACCAGAGCAGAGCAATCAATTCTTAATAAAAAAAAAAAAAAACTTCACCTGTGTGCCAAGGGTGCCACCTTCACCTTCCAGGCATACACTGATGGAAAAATACAAGTTTGAAAGTCCTAACTGTGTCTTCTGATTGAAAGGTGACACACTGGAAGATTTTAACACTGCCCTTTTCATCAATAGGTCAATGGGATTTGTAACGATGCACTTGTCATTGGGGATGGGTTTTTTTTTTATGTCAGTTAAGCATTATGTATGTTTTCCACTCACACTTATGCAATTTCATGTTATCAATGTCTACATCCATATTCCAGGTGAGAATGACTCAAAGATATGTCTGATTTTATAGGTTAATTGAAATTATTGTAACAAGATTTTTGTATTTCTAACGTAGGTCTAGCTTAAGTCTGAAACTCACATAAGATATGTTTTCTATGGAATTATAGCATTTTAAAAAGAGAGGAGACCTTAAAGTAACTCTATTCTAAAGCCAAGTAATGTGTTCAAGGTTCCATGGCTAACGAGACATGAGTAGAAAGGACTAGAAAGCCTTCTGGGCTTCCATACCTATTCAGTACATACATGTCTTCCATGCATGGCCATTATAGTTCGTGGTCTAGCCTGGTGTTATCTCATTTTCCCCAATCTTACACTACGATGCAGTGCCTAGAGGCCTATAGCCCCTGTCCTGGTCCCTCTCTTTCAAGGTTCCTCAGGCTGGATAACCCTAGTGAAATCAGAAGTTTTGGTAGTGATGTCACAGGGAGGACTTAGGTTCAAACACTCACCACATCCTAAAAGAAATCAAGGCACAAATTAATCAATGAAAATGGACCTATGTCAAGAGTATGCTACATCAGAAATATGCAAACATGTCTGTGTCCTTCCACTATATCAGAATTTATCAACTAATAAAAAATTAGATAAGGCAGTGTCATTGTCTTCAATTTGCTGAATAATCTCCACTTCTTTGAGAGCTATCTGAGACAGTTTCTTTTTTCATGTCTTACCTATTAATTTTTTGGGTTTTTTTTTTTGAGACAGGGTTTCTCTGTGGCTTTGGAGGCTGTTCTGGAACTAGCTCTTGTAGACCAGGCTGGTCTCTAACTCACAGAGATCCACCTGCCTCTGCCCCTCCCCACCTGAGTGCTGGGACTAAAGGTGTGAGCCACCACCACCTGGCTCCTCATGTTAATTCTTGAACCACATCTTATTGCCACACAGTAAAAACACCGCCTACACACACACACACACACACACACACACACACACACACACACACACACACACTACAGAATGGCTACAGTGTTAAAAAGGCCACTGCAGACTTCAAGGATCTTCTAAGAGGACTGGGAGGCAGAACTGGGAGCCAATAGAGGTGAGTAAGAAGACTCTGAACTCAGGTAAGTAGCTCTCCAGGTCTGCTGGAGACACTGAGGTACCTGGTAAGAGTTGAATCCAAACTCAAGAGTTGATCACAGCACGCAGAGGCAAAGGGTGTGTGTGTGTGTGTGTGTGTGTGTGTGTGTGTGTGTGTGTGAGAGAGAGAGAGAGAGAGAGAGAGAGAGAGAGAGAGAGAGAGAGAGAGAGAGAGGGGAGAGCTCTGTCTGGAGAACCCTGACTAATATGGCATGCTATGGGATATGAGAAACAAAAGAAAGGCAGCATGCAAGACAGACAGGCAATGTGAGCAGAGATGAGAACTCAAATAACAATAACAAAACTAATACTGGGGGCAAAAGAGCTGTAACAGGCATGAAGAATGATGTGATACACTTATCTATAGACAGAGCACGACTAAAGGAAGGACCTTTGACCTTGAGTACATCTCCATAGAAATCTCCAAATCGACTGAGAGAGAGAGGGGACTAGTAAGACCAGAAATAGACTCTCATAAACCCAGTATGCAGAACTTTTACACAGGAGCAAAGGCAACACAATGTAACTAAGTCTGATTGTCAGCAAATGGCACTGGGACAACTGAACATCTGCATGGGGAAAAAAAGAATTTGGTCACAGACTTTATATTCTTCACAAAGTTAACTCAAAATAGATGATAAACATAGTTGTATGGTGCAAAGCTATAAAATTCATAGGAGATAACATAGGAGAAAATCTAGACAACCTTGGGTTTGATGGTGAATTTTTAGACATAACATCAAAGGCACATAAGCAGGACATCATTAAAATTTACATTTTTGTCTCCACAAAAGTGGCTGAAAGGATGAAAAATAGTGAGGCATTTGCAAAAAATATCTGCATATTTTTATAGGAATGTGCACAAAGCCACATGCAACTCTAAATACTCAACAATAAAAAACAGACACAGTGGAAATTGGGACAGATTGTAAAAGACATCTATACATAAGATATACAGAAAATGAATGAGCACATGGAAGGATACACTGCATCACATCTTAATGCAAATCAGAGAAGCAATGTTAGGAAGCAACAATGTCAGCAAGACATTAGGAAGAACAGAGTCGGAACATGGACAGCACCAAACACCAGCCAGGATGTACAGCGGAAGAGCATTCATTCATGAAGTGGAAAGGGCTAATAGCACAGCCACCTTGGAGGACGGTTGACCAGATTCCCATAAGATTAAACATTGTCTTCCACAATACAATCCAGCCACTGTGCTCCTTAGCATGTACCTTGAAGAGCTGAAAACTTCATCTACATCAAAACTTGCACATGAATATTTATTCAAGGTAGTTTTATTCATAACCAACAAAACTTGGAAGCAATCGCTATTCCTTCTATGGGCAAGTATTCATTCACACTGTGGTATATACAGACAATGGGATATGACTCAGCACTGAAAAGGCAGGAGTTATGAAACTATAGGACTTACTTTCTTATGGCTGACAAAAAATCTGAGAGAAAGCACCCAAAGGAGTAAAATTTCTTGTAGCTCAGTTTGAGGGTATACAGTCTGTTCTATCCAGGAAGGCATGCTGGCGGACGGGAAGAGCTTGAGGCAGCAGGAGCTTGCTCACTTCTGGACAGATCAGGAAATGGAGAAAATGGGGATTCCAGCGCTCAGCTGGATTTCTCAATTTCCTTATTTATCCCATCTGGCCCCAGTCCACGGGATGCCAGCTCTCATCTTCAGGGCAGGTCTTCTTCCCTCAGTTAACACTGTCTGGAAACATCCTTTCAGTCACACCCAACAAGGAGACTCACTAAGAACTTAGTACATTTTAGATCCTGTCAGGTTGACACTGAAGATTATCCATCAGAGGAGAGGCAGAAATGGAGGACTTCAGTGCAAATTGCTAAATGAAAAGGGCCGATCTGAAGAGGCTTGCGGTGTGAATTCCGGTCTAGCATTCTGATCAAGCAAAACTTCATGGTGGGGGGCAGAGAGGAGGGCACAGGGAGCCCAGAAGTCTGCTAGGGCTGTAAAAATTGTGATATATATTATATACGTTACTTTGAGTTTTTCAAAACCCACAGCCTGCACAGCTGAAGGGAGGAACTCCAGTGTGCACTGTGGGCTGCGGGTGATGTGCCAACCCAGGTTCATGGACTGAGATGCCTGTGGTGCTTTAGTGACAATGTGGGCAATGGGGAAGGCTCTGCAGTCTAAAGAAGGGGTGATAGGATGTTTCTGTGTCTCCTGGTCAGTTTTGCTGTGAACCCCAAACTGCTCTAAAATATAGTGTTGAGAAAAGAATTGGACAAACAAGGAGTGATTCGGGCGGGAGGTGACAGTGCAGAGACAAGAACGCTCACCCACAAGCAGATTGTAGCACAGAGAGAGGGGGAGCAGTTGGAGAGGAGCAGAGGAGCTGCAAGCTGAGTCATGAGGGATGCTGGGATCACCCTCAGAGATGCGTCACAACCGCTGCCTGCAACTCCACCAGACAGTCTGTTGTTTCTCATTAATCAATCCTTGTTCTTTAACGTCTTCTAATTGTTCTTAGGGTCAGCCAGGGTCATCAGGCACCTCTGTGAAACATTGCTGTCCAGAGGACAGAGCAGACTTTATCCCAGAGACCACCTGAGGTGACAAAGCAAAGGGACTACCTCTGTCAGGGAAAATTGTCTATCTCTCCTAGGACTCCCTTACCTGGAGAGTGGCTCCCTGCCATCATCTATTTTTAGTTTTATGCCAGGGAAGAATATGTTATGGTCTGACTGGGATTTTCTCCATGACCTGCCTTTTTGCACTTGCCAACTTTCACTGCTCAGGTGTTTCCCTGCTGCAGCCAGAGTGCCCTGTGGACAGATGGGCTCTCAGTGTGGCTCCTCATTTGCCGCCTCCTGGGCATGCTGCTGTCAGCTCTTGAATTTCATGCTCAGTTCTATGTCACAAATGGCCATTCAGACTCCACACTGTGCAGGACGTGCCCTTTCCCTGTGAAGGGCATCGGATGCAGCCTTCAGAACCTGTAGCAGGAGCTTCAGCTCTCCTTGGATATATACTGTGTCCTTGGACAGTATGTGTCCATTTTAAATTTGTTTTCCTACAGCATTTGAATGGTTTCTGGAAGTCAGTGTGTAAATAATTTCACATTACCGGTCCTTGCTGGAAGTCTGCCATCCCATGTTACATCACAGGGATACCTATATGGCCACTGAGTATTTGCATAAGCTATTTACAGCCATTCTGCCTGCTCTTTTCTGGATCCTTCTTCCTGGAGGGATTGTTTTTTGTTTTGTTTTTTCATATACTCATATGCCTGAGGCTGGGTGTTCTATCCACAACCAAAGTTTCTTTCTTTCTTTCTTTCTTTCTTCTTTCTTTCTTTCTTTCTTTCTTTCTTTCTTTCTTTTAAGTACAAGGGGATTTATTAGGGAAAATCCTTACTTACAGAAAGACTTAGCCATCCGGCAGATCAGCAGTAAGTACAGCAAGCTGAAGATGAAATGGAAGAAGGAAAGCCCACATGATCGCCCCTCACTCTTAAACCCTGACCACGCCCTCGCAGGTGTGGTCAGGCACACCTGTAGCCAGCCCCTTGCAGGCGTGCAACCAAAGTTTCTTTCTCATGATCCTGGTAACTAAAACAAGATGTCAACATGGACAGATTCTGGGTAGAAAGGTTGGGTCTCATTGCTTCTTGAAACAGAGCAAAAGGTCAAAGTGACTTCATCTGGTCACTTTAATCAGGGTACTCTTGCTCAAGAAGGGTCTGTCCTCATGATCTAAGCACCAACTAAAGGTCCAACATCCCAACTCTACCACAGGATGAACAGAGTAAGGTTTCAACACATGCATTTGGGGAACACAGGCTTTGGCTTCAATGTACAGAAACAATGACTTCCTCGGGAAAAGTTCAAGCACAGCTTGGAATTCAGAGTGAAAATGAAGATGACCATTCATCCAGTACATGGATCTTTAGGACACCAATTCCTCTGGCTTCAGTGACAGACAACAGACTGCTCTCTTGGGGACAATACCATTATCTTCAATACCTCTTTATGCCCAGGAGTGTGACTGAAGGCTTTGTCAATTTTGACTTTGATTTCAACCAGTAGAATGTAGTCTTTTTTTCTAAGTTCCCAAGGTGACACCTTTGTGGCATATTTTAAAGAAATTATTATTTTTTTTAAAACAGCACATCCAAGATGCGCTGTACAAGCACATTGCAACTGGTGGTTTCAAATAATACAGGTAATATTTCTCTTTTTGGTGGGGGCAAATTCTAGGTGGCCATGCCCTAGACCTGGGTGGCTGTCTCCTCTTCCCAAGACTATCCAATCTTGCTTTTATTGGTCTCATCTTAGTTGTGTTTCTTAGGAAAGAGTCCTTAGTCTCTGGGCCAAATATGAGCATGACATGCTGTGACTTATTCTTGGCACTAAGGACAGAGATGTTAGGTACTGTGGACGATATCTGAATTCTGTGGAAAACCAGAGCATAGTGTGGTTACTCAGCTAAGTTAGGGTCAAACTGTTTCAAACATAAGAGTCTCTTAGAACATAAGAGACTGTGGATGGTTTCTGAGGAGATATTTTCAGACTCTCCAACAAACTTCCAGAACACAGTCAGCTATTGAGATCCAAACTATACACCAGGAGGAATATAATTTTTCTGGTTATGTTTTAATTAAAAGTAAAAACCTACCATTATTGAAGCATATGCTATTGACAAGAAAAGTTTTTTTTTGCTTTAAGAATTCAACATATGTCAACAATATTAATCTGGTTCTGTTCTCCATCTTGATCTTCTTTATAGTGAGAAATTACCAATACAGAGTCAGGTAGAAATATAAGGGCATTTAATAGGGAAAAGCCTTACTTACAGAGCGACCTAGCCAGCCGGCGTGGTAGCAGTCTGTCCAGCAAGTACCAAAGTGAAACCGAAAGAGAAAATGCAGTCACTCTATGTCACCCTAAGTAGGCGTGGCTACAGTTTCCCCTACACTTCTTCCCAGAAGATTTAGGCACTTGCTACATGCTCAATAACTAGTTTGTGGACAATGGCTCCATATTCCTTTCTTCATGCCCTTTCACTTTTCAAAACTTGGCTTAAAGTGTTGTTGCTGAAATGTTTCAATATTATACTAAAATATGTTCATTATTATTTTAAAACAAATATTCATCAAAAGGGTCCCAAACAGACTGACTTAAGCTTTCCATCGTTGGGTTGATGAAGGTTGAGAATCCATAATCCAACCATCTGAAATCTGTAATGCATCAAAATCCAAAATTTTTTAGTCTCAATATAATGCCACAAGTCTTTTGCTTCCTGGACCTCATGCATGTATAGTTCGCATCTTGAGTGTCCCCTGGGACCCACGAGTTACAAGCTTGGTCCTTATCTTGATGCTGTGGGGAGATGGCAGAATTTTTGGTGACAGATCCTGTATGGGGAAAGTTAGGTCATTTAACACATACCTTTGACAGAATATTGGGACCCTAACCACTGGGTCCAAGTGAATCACAATGGAAAGAACAGCAGCATTAACCACCCAGAGTAGGGATGATTTCGAATAAGTGCTGGCACACTCCATTGTGGATAGACAGGGTATAGATTGGGCTGAATTATTGGGTGGAGATGGGAGCAGGCAACTTGATGTTAAGGCCAGAAGTCTTAAGAACATGACTATACAGTACATATAATGATAGTGAAAAGTCTAACCTCCCTTTTTTGGAGTTTCCTGTTTGTTTAATAGAGGCTGGGACTAACAAATGTGAGCTGTATCTTGGAAACAGGGCAGAGATTGTGTCAAATTGTTATAGCAAGGAAAAAATTTTAAGATTTATTTATTATATATATAGTGTTCTGCCTGCAGGCCAGAAGAGGACACCAGACCTCCTTATAGATGGTTGTGAGCCACCATGTGGTTTCGGGAGATTGAACTCAGGACCTCTGGAAGAACAGCCAGTGCTCTTAACCACTGAACCATCTCCCCAGCCCTGTAAGGAAAATTTTTACTGTGCTCAGCATTTAGGGTTTAATGTTACTTCCTTAACTCAAGGTCGGTGAAACCCCTCGTCTATCAAACTCAGATTCTGACCAGACACTGAATATACCTCTTCATGATGCAAACGGTGAACACTTCTTTTCTTCCTACCTCTATCCAGGGAGCAACAGGCCTGCCCCTGCACCTCGGATTCACTTTCTACATCTAAAAAAAAGTATTTAGATAGTACATGACTGTAATCCCAGCACTTGGGAGGCAGAGGCAGGAAAACTGCTGTGAGTTTGAGAACCAACCTGGACTTCACGATGAGACCCTGTCTCAAAACGAGAAAGAAAAAAAAAATGAAAAAGTAGCTGGGCAGTGATAGTGTATGCCTTTAATCCTAGCACTTGGGAGGCAGAGGTAGATGGATCTCTGTGAGTTTGAGGCCAGCCTGGTTTACAAAGCGAGTTTCGGGACAGGATCCAAAGCTACACAGAGATACCAAAACCAAACAACCAAACAAACAAAAACCTGAAAAAGTAATTAACTACTGTAATGCATGTTTCTCCATGGAAACAGTCTTAACAAGTATACATGCAGAAGGTTCTCCTTAGTTTGGGCTGCTTATTCTACTTAAAGAGGAAAAACAACTACAAATAACCAGAATCCAGAGTTTGAAAAATATAGGCTGTTTGATGGGTAAAAAAATTATAACATTACTCTCCAAATAATCAGTTAAGAATTTTACATTTAGGCATCAGGGGAAAGTGTGCAGCCCATCTTAGTATGAGACTAAGACTATTTAGTGAAATTGCAAAATCTCTCACCAATCACGAGAAGCACCATTTGCAAACTGTTCTCACGTTTCCATCTTACTTCTAGCTCATGTACATAAATTCTGTTTATTCTTCCTAAAGAACCTCTTCGCCCACTTCGCTTAACTAGTGAAGAGGTAATAAAATTATAAAATAACATCTACACAAACTACTATATTTACTATTAGAACAATACAATTGACACATTTGAAATACAGATTGTGCATACTTGTAACTTCCTACTTTTTGAGTTATTATGCAATTTTTGATGATAAAATTAAAGAATGATGTAATGTAGCACAGTGCATAAGACATTCACACAGATGATTCCATGAAAATATTATTTTTCCAAAAAAGAATAGCATCTACTTCTTTGTGTTAATTTTAATTTTTATAGATTACATATGGTGTATTAAAATTTGGGGTGTGTGTATGTAATATGCATTTGTATGTGACATGTCTGTGCACCTGTGTATGAGTGTGTGTGCACATGGGTCCATGTGTGTATGGAAACCAGAGTCAAGCTCAGATGTTTTTCTCAATCACTCTCAACCTGATTTTTGAGGCAGGGTCTCTCGCTAGCTCATTGATTTGGAAGGACTAGCTGGTCGGTGAGCTATGAATCATCCTTTCTCCACTCCCCAGGGCTAGGGTTACAGACTTGTGCCAGCTTTGCTTACAAGGATCTTAGATTACTGATTTCCTTTCATTATGCTTGACCTGCTAACATTTCTT